GAAGCTCTTCGCGAAAGTTCACTGTGGTAGACCCGGCCACTGCTGCCAGATCTACAAGCCTGCTCATCCTCTACTCATTACACCAGCAAAACGCCCACATCTTATCCACCAATAACCACCAGGACAGCAAGTTAAAAGCCGGAGACGCCCACTTCCCGGCCTTCTGAAGCCTGCAAGGTGCATGTCGCTAACGCACCTGTTCGCAAATGCATGTTGTTCTGGAGGGGTCGCTTCTGCTCACGTGTTGCTCGTGCGCGTGGCCCGGCTGTCCTCAGTCTGACTGCCCGTGGTCTGCTCCTCCTCCGCGTCCCTGCACCTGCTGTGGTTCGCATATCCCCACTGCTCTCCTCCTCTGCGGGCTCTTCTGCGGGCTGCTCCGCGGGGCCCCTCCGCGGTTCTGTGCTGCTCGTTCCTCGTGGTCTGCTGCCGCGTGCAGACGGTCTGGCGGTGCCGTGCGTGTCCCTGCCTCCGATTGGCGGTGCCGCGTTGTCCCGTTGCTTTCCCAAGTCTCCTGGCATGTGAGTACAGTGAGTGTGCCGACCGCGGACAGATTAATCCCGGAGTCTGGGCTGCAGGCGGCTGGTTTTTGCCCTACGCACTTGACTGCAGGCGTCAGTTTTCGCCCCGTGCTTGGTCTGCAGGCTCCGTTTTACACGTGTTTGAGCTAACTGAGGGACAATGCATCTTAAATGGCATCAATCTCCAATGTCTGAGGGATATAAGAGGAGCAATGTGCATTAATTCAGAATCATGTTCTGCCACTTGCAGTAAAACCACGTTGGAAAAAATGTGCAAAGACTACTCCATCGTGCTCCAGACGACACACACCAGAGCTCTTGCCACGGCGCCATTTTTACAGCATTAATCTCATTACTCGCAAGTCACTATTGTTAAATGAATGTATTTAAATTCGTCTATCTGCAGGAGGAAGGAGGGGCCATGCATTTAAATAGCTAGGTCACTAGTATTAAATTGGGTAACTAAACTGCAGTTGTTGCATTTTGAAAGTGCAGCAGAAAGAAAAAGGGCCCAATGTGAATCTGCAATGGGTTTGAAGTGGAGTTGGAGCATGGAAAAGTGATCGTTCATGCGTATCTGCCATAACCAAAGCAGCAGATGGCTCCAGGGGACATCTGTTTTTCGCATGGGAATGTTTCGGATTCGGGTTGATTTATTAAACAACCGTGGGCATGGTTCCCTGACCGCCGCTGCTGCGGTCCCTGCTGCCGTTCCTACTGATGCCTGATCCTGCTGATGCCTGTTCCCGCTGCTGCCTGTTCCTGCTGCCGCTCCTGCTGCTGCCTGTCCCTGCTGCCTGCTCCTGCTGCTCCTACTACTACATGTGCCGCTGCTGCTGTTCCTGCCGCTGCCGCTCCGCGGGCTCCCAGGCTGCACCTGTCTCTACGGCTCGGCTCTTTCAGACACGTATGTAACCTGGCTCACGGAGACAAGCGGCGCACGCTGGCGCGACACGTCTGTTGTTCGTATGAATCGCATTGTGCTGCTGCTGCTGCTGCTAATGCTGCTTCTGCTGCTTCATACTGCTACCGCTACTGCTGCTACTGCTGCCGCTAATGCTGCTATTGCTGCCGCTGCTGCTTCATACTGCTACTGCTGCCGTGCTGCTGCTGCTTCTTTACTTTGACACCTCTCTTCACTTCGCATCTCTTTTACTGAAACACTAAACAGCTTCAACTATATTCTACTGCGGTGGCTTTGATACAGGATTATTGCTGTTATTATCTACGGATGCTGCAACCGCTGCTGCTACTGCTGCTTCATACTGCTACTGCTGCTCCTGCTAATGCTGCTTCTGCTGCTTCATACTGCTGCTGCTACTGCTGCCGCTGCTGCTGCTGCTTCATGTACTTTGACATCTCTCTTCACTTCGCATCTCTTTTACTGAAACACTAAACAGCTACAACAATATTCTACTGCTCTGGCTTTGATACAGGATTATTGCTGTTATTATCTACGGATGCTGCAGCTGCTGCTGCTTCATACTGCTACTGCTGCTGCTGCTTCATACTGCTACTGCTACTGCTGCTGCTTCATACGGCTACTGCTGCTACTGCTGCTTCATTTACTTTGCCATCTCTCTTCACTTGCATCTCTTTTACTGAAACCCTGAACAGCTACAACAACATTCTACTGCTGTGGCTTTGATACAGAATTATTACTGTTATTTTCTAAGGACGCTGCTGCTGCTGCTGCTGCTGCTGCGGCTGCCGCGGCTTGATACAGGACTATTGCTGTTATTATCTGAGGTTACTGCTGCTGCCGCTGCTGCTACTGCTACTGCTGCAACCCACTCTCTCAGAAGCTTATCCCGCTTCTAATGGATGCAGCCCGGCTGAGTATGCCGCGCTGCGCCGGACTCGCACCTATGCTCCCAGGGTCGCTTCGGCGGTCATGCTTCATCTCTATACTTAATCTTCTGATCCATCAGATGCAGCTGGCCAAGTAGCTGCGCTGAGCCGTCAATCGGACTCCTAATCAAAGGCATCCATACCTGTATTCTTCACTCTTCTGATCGCAGGCTCCCCATCATGCTGCCCATCCTGCAGCGGCGCTGAACTCCGGCTCATCTTCCAAGTACATGTCTGCCCTCCTCGCAGCATCTTCCCGCTCTCCTTCCGTGGCTTCTCTGAATAAGCGTCTCACCATTGCTCACTCAACCTTCATGCGGTCCGAGACACGGCTTTCCCGACCATCCTACTATCCTGATTATCTACTCTCCAACCCAAGATTCTAAGCGTAAGGGCGCCTGCAACATCAATGGCCCTCTCCGATATGTCTCTGCCCCTACAGGTCTCCGCTTCTACACGGACGCTGCCCCTTCCGTGGGTTTTGGGGGATTCTTCCAGGACCATTGGTTTGCCGAGCGTGGCCGCTACTTTCCACCGGAGCATCTCCTCTGCCCTACACGAGATATTCCCAGTGGTCGTGGCTGCGCGCTGTGGAATCACACGTGGCAGAGAAAGAGGATCTCTGTCACGTGTGATAATCTCGACGTAGTGGAAGCATTACACAAAGGTCGCTCTTTTTCACCCAACATAACGTCCCCTGACCATTTCAACCTCCGTCTCAAACATTCAAAAATCAAAGGAGCCTGCAATATAGTAATAGCTCGCTCGGACACATCTCTCTGCCCCTACAAATCCATAATGCGTTACACTCGCCTCCGCTGCAAAAAGGAGATTTTAACGGACCTCTCTTTCTCACTCCAGACATTCTTCCCATGACAGCAACCTGGTTCAGAGCTCAGCTAAGATCCCTACTGCTCCTCTGTAAATTGTCTCCCCAGCTCTACACAGCCCACTCTTTCCGGATAGGCGCTGCCACGCGCGCGGCCTCGCTGGGGCTCCCCCACACCTCTCTGCAACAGCTGGGGCGCTGTTCCTCTTCGGCTTTCTCCACCTACATCAGGCCAGACGCGTCCGCCATCCTGGCTGCACAACGTCTACTGGCTTCTTCGTAAGCTCCCAGCAAAGCAATACAAAGCAAAGTAAGTGAACCAATGGGATTTCTGGTGGCGGCACGCACTTTTAAAGATAACTCTGCTGCAGCGTCTGGTATCGATCGTGATGCGAGCGCTCACGTCCCAGACAGCGTCCGGTTGATCGTGATGCGAGCGCGCACGTCCCGGCGCTTTAAGATAACTCTGCCCGTTTTTGGGGATTATGCGCGCGAGCAAGCGCCGCACTCAGCAGCATCTCTCCCAGGCCTAGGGCGCCAAACATACTCAATCAACAAACTTCTAACTGCATTTTCCCTCTTGGGTCTCTCCAAAGTGAAATGAAGCTCTTCGCGAAAGTTCACTGTGGTAGACCCGGCCACTGCTGCCAGATCTACAAGCCTGCTCATCCTCTACTCATTACACCAGCAAAACGCCCACATCTAATCCACCAATAACCACCAGGACAGCAAGTTAAAAGCCGGAGACGCCCACTTCCCGGCCTTCTGAAGTTTGCAAAGCCTCCGCCGCCCCACCTCCTCCTTCTCTCATCGAAGCGTGCTTGCCTACTGCCTCTGCCGTCACCAGTGCCTAGGCCCCGGGGGGGATTATGCGCGCGAGCAAGCGCCGCACTCAACAGCATCCCTCCCGGGCCTAGGGCGCCAAACATACTCAATCAACAAACTTCTAACTGCATTTTCCCTCTTGGGTCTCTCCAAAGTGAAATGCAAACGGAGCAAAAACGGGAGCACAACCGCAGCCTCCTCTGTATATTTTGTAGCACCAAAAGGTAGCTCCCGCTAGAAGCTACCAAACTCTTCCAAGTGTTCCCTATTAAATGTATATAGTTACGTGACGTGTTACACTGCAAAGTATAGTAACACAGAAATGTAACAGTCGATTTTCTCAGCGGATAAAACGGGTACTATATTGTGAGGCGTAGTAATCTGAGGGGCGCTACGTCCGCGCACTAACTTCTCTCCGGAGACTTCTCTCTCGCTCACTTCCGTCAATAAAAGCAGCGTGACTTGTAATACACACAGTAGCAGCGAGAGAGAAGTCTCTGGAGAGAAGTTAGTGCGCGGACGTAGCGCTCCTAACTTCTCTGCGCACTAACTTCTCTCCGGAGACTTCTCTCTTTTGGTGCTACAAAATATACAGAGGAGGCTGCGGTTGTGCTCCCGTTTTTGCTCCGTTTGCATGACAGAGCGCACGGACTAAGACCAGACAGGTACGTATTAACTAGTCTAAGGTAAGGTAAGAACATATGTCAGTATGTAAAAACGGTGAACTATTCCTTTAATATTGTATTATCTAATTTTAAACTGTTTGGTTTTCTGATCTGTTGTTGGCAAATCAACAACATTGTAAAGTTTTCCGTCTCCTTTTGTGATTTAGGGCTGTAGAAAAATACATTTAATTGATGTTAGCTCAAATCGGCCCATCCCTATCCCATCCCTCCCCTCGGCCTTAAATATGTCAGAATAGAGAATATAAAAATTTCCAGTGTTTTAATTGTTTTTAAAGGTGTTGGGCGTGTTACCGGGCAGAAAGCAGTGCAGCGGGGAGCCTCCGTGTCGACTGTGCACAGGAGAATCTGTGTAAACAGAACCGGACGACCGCCTCGTTCTGGTCTCGAGTCCATCCAACAGATCCTGGAGAAAGAGCAGAACATGTGGGGAGTGGGTGGACTGGTCAGGGGAACACAAGAGCAGGAGATGTTTTGAGCAGCAGCTGTAAAGGAAACGAGATTACGATAATGTCTCGCAGATGTTGATATTCTCCAGTGTCATGTGTGCGTAATAGTTGTATCATACTGCAGAGAAGAACAAATATAATGGAACGCAGAAGACCAAACTATTTTCCAAACTCACATATTATCCTACTTTAAAAGGAGATATTTTTTGTTTTATTTAAACTTTATTTAATTAGGAAAATCTGATTAAGATTCACATTTCCCTTATTCTGAGTATACACTTTGATTTCCTTTTATAGAATCCTCATTATATCTCTTTTAACCATGTTACAATATTGTTCCCTTGTCAAAAACAGACCTTGAGTTGTTTTTAAATCCATCCAAATTAATATTACGGACTTCTGGCACAAATATTTCACTCCGCCCCTTCTGTCTCAAAGCTCCTGTCTCAGTCTTGTAATAGTATGATGTCATCGTATGACTATGACATCACACACTAAAGTTTACTTGCTTGTAAATTGGTTTTGGCCATTTATCGGGTGAAATTACAATTGGATGACTGTGTTTCCAGCTAGAAATTTTCAAATTTGTAGAAAAAAACTTCAAATGTAATGTAAAAAAAAAGATCAATTATGTTTGTCAATGTTTATTTTGGCTCATTGTCTTGAGAATATTTACTTTTCCTGCTTTGTGAATGTGAAAAGAACTCAACAAAAAAAGACTGGACTAGATTCACACAAACTCCCTCAAGTATTGACTGGAGTTGGAAATTACATTACGTCTTCCTGATACATGCTCATAGTTGCAAAGAACATAATATGAATGTAGAAAACTAATTTGGAGGCAAACAATAAATAATATCCAACCCCTAACATCTCTAAAACATGGCTCTTTTGTGCTGAGATAATACAATATAGATACACTGAGAACTGCTGACGCTGTACATGTCATCCCATCTGTAAATAGTAAATTACGCAATCATGTGCAATATTACAATTTCAGAACGGCCATTGAACATCACTTTATCTATTTATCCTGCCAATATTGCGCTAACTTACATGCAACATCTAAATTCACCACTATGGGACGAATCGATGTTCTCTTATCTTCTCTTGATATGTCATTATCAGCACCACACAGACGCACACCTACATCTATATCTATAACCTACATCTATAGATATGCAGTGTGTCAAAGCTGGAGGCCGCTGAACTGCAGGATCGATGGCTCAGACCCTTTGGTACCTGTGTGCAGCTGTATCTGTCCAGAGAGTCTTCGGTCAGCGGCGTGTGGTCGGCCTGATAAGGAATGATGTCCGGACGCTGGATCTCACACAGACCGTTGAGCCGCGGCACGGTAGCAATCACGTCTCTGTTGGATTTAGACTGAGGCAGAGACATGAGAGACACGTGAGGATATGTTTTGGTTGTTTGTCAAAGGGGGTGGGAATCTATGAGTTCTTTCTTCATGTATAATATTATAAAAATATTACCAAATTGCTTTGGTTCAAGGTGCAAACAAGTTGTAAAAATAATATAAATAAAACATTTCTTACCACTATATACACCACTAAGTACACACAATAGACCTTTAGCAGTGCAGTAAAGTGACAGTAGTGACAATCATAAGACCAGGGAGCTTTGATGAGTTATGAATAAGTAATTGTTAATAATTGAAATGTTAGAAAATTCTATCTAGTGGCATTCAATAATAATATTTGACCCATTGAACTCGAAATATACAAAAACTTAAACTCAAAGAAGAAGGAAACAGATCATGTCAGAGCAAATACACAGTAAAAATGTAGCCAGTTTTACAGACGTCACTTTTTGTTGTGTCTTAACAGAAAGAGTCTTATAAAATATTGTGGACAAAGTGGACAAATAAAGGATCTCTTAATCTTAATGTTACATATATCTGTCTTTTCACAAAATAGCTGGTTATGTGCAAATTGTAAACTACTATGATTATGATATTTAAATGTATATATAATGTGTTTCTCTTTGTACTCACGCAGATGAAGCGGTGTGGAGAGCCGGTCAGCGGGGACGAGCCCGGCGGGGAGAGGGACGCAGACTCAGACGTCCTCCGCAGCTGGACACAACATCCACATTATTATTAATATCTGGCCCTGAAGGCACCAGACACAACACACCCTCAACACATTCAGACAGACCTTTGGGAGAATGAGACGTGAAACAAAAGATTCAAAAGATCCTAAAGGGACTTTTACTTGGCAATGGCTTATTTCATTATTATTATTTTTCTATTTTTGCTTTTTTTATTTGAACACTAATTAATTCTGCTCAAAAGGAGTGGGCTGAAGCAAGAAGCGTATGAGCACCCCACCTCCAAACTCAATTACAATCAGACTTTTCTGATCACAATAGAAAACTACAAAACAAGGACACAAAAGCACACAAAACAAACCACATATTTACATCCTGGATTATGGAATAATCAACAGTCAACCATAAAAACAGAATACAGAATAGATCATACAATTAGCAATGTCTTGTTGAGATTACAGTAGCCTCACTGACCAGAGAGACCAGAGAAAGACCAGAGAGAGACCAGATAGAAAGAGACCATGAGAGAGACCAGAGAGAGACCAGATAGAAAGAGACCATGAGAGAGACCAGAGAGAGAGAGAGACCATGAGAGAGACCAGAGAGAGACCAGAAAGAAAGAGACCATGAGAGAGACCAGATAGAGATACCAGAGAGAGAGACCAGATAGAGAGACCAGAGAGAGAGAGGCCAGAAAGAGAGGCCAGAAAGAGAGACCAGAGAGAGAGAGAGCAGAGAGAGATACCAGATAGATAGACCAGAGAGAGAGATCAGAGAGAGATCATGTAAATAATGTATAAAGTACGTACACACATAGACATTAAAAAATGCTGTTATTGATAATTGACCTTGGGTATGAGATTATAAGGTGGAAGAAATACAGCACAATTCCTACAGAAATACTTTATGAAAAAAATAAGTACAGATTACACATGTTTTTGTGTCGTTGAATCTCACCCTGAGTTTCCTCTCCAGTCTGGCAGACTCCTTACACATGGGGTGCCAAACCTCTGCACCTACAAACACAAACAATAAATGGATTTAGAGGACAACAAGGTCATCCATTCACAAACATTAAAGCTGGGGTACCTAACATTCTTTTCTTGAAATAATAGCATGAACAAATCAGATCAGAACAGGCTGTCTTCATCTTAATATAAAACATGTAATCTTCTGCACAAATCAATTACAATGTTTTAAACTGTAAGAATGAGCTCTGTGAGTCACTATTTGACACTTTGGGCTGACACTTGTCTTCTATTTTTCACTCTTCTGTCATAAAATGTTAATCTAAATATGTGACCTAAGTTCTAATGTACATGAGCATATAAATGATAACAAGAGATGATTTAAGGACAGTGTGGCAGCCTGATCCTTTCCTTTTGCCATCTGCTCGTCGCATCTGAGCCAAAACCATTAAAAACATTTTGCCACTAGCACAAAAACCACTTGAGTTCTGCCAAAAGGTACAACGCACAGCTATGTAAGTTGACAGTCCGACACCAGCTGCTGTCTCCATGGAGATTAGTGCTGGACTGAGAAGGGCCTGCACTTGTCATCATAAATACAGTAAAACATTTTATTATCAGACCATGACATGCTGTTTTCATCTTAGCAGAAAACCAAGTCACTATTCAACGAAGAGCTGATTGGCTGAGTGAGGGTGGTCCTCTCGTTTCACTTTACTGTCAGAAAAAGCTGATATTGAGAAGACTTTATTGATCTCAGAGGGCAATTGATTTGCAGAATCTCAGAGCAGAACACACAGACTCTACACAAATGCACAGTGAGGAGGCGGTCGGTGTAAATGAACCAAAAAAATTTACAACAAAAGTAAAAAATATACCTCCACCAGAGTTCCATTTTTGCCCTCTGCCAGTTTTATGGCAGAGGGCAAAACATTTTGTCCTTCAGGGATTTGTCATTCAGTATCAGGATTTTGCCTTAGAAGCAAATATCCAATGACAAAATGGTAACAAAATACTGCAAATATTTCATAATAATACCAAACAGATCCCTCTCTCACTTCTATTAAATTCTCAGCATGGTCGTATTTGTGCCTCATAGCTGCACATTTAGCATACAATAGAGCACTGTTTTAAATATTAATGCTATTTTAAGGGCTCCAATATTTGCATAACGATAAGGAAATACTACATCTGCTACTACCGCTCTTGCTGCATAGGCAATATACAATAACTAGTAGCGTGTCTATGATAAATTGATTTACAAGCTCATAGATAAAAGGGAGGAGAAAGTGCAGAGACAGATAGAGGAAGACTATTAGATTTAACGCACAATCATAAAGCAATAATGTCAGGGCGGTATATAAGACAGAGGTAATGACAGTAATATATTCAAACAGATGCTGACTGGACCGTGTTAAAGCCTGCAGGCAGTTCATCATCACATCTGTGTCTCGCCAACAGTAAAAAGATCCAGTGGCTACATTTACACCAGGACGCAGGAGTACAGGCCAAAAAACACATTCAAAATCAATACGACTGGGATTCAGTGTGCCCCTGGACCGGCCCCACCCACACACAACATCACACATGTTTACATCCATGAGCTGAAGCAGGAGTACGGGCCCTTTTCAATAACATTTAAAATTTGCACATGCAGCGATAGAGAAAAGTGAGATTTGGGCCACAGCTGCTATCAACAATACAACAAATGAAGGATGAATATATCTCACTTTGCGTGTAATGGGTCTGTCATATTAGTTTCACATTATAAGTTGAATTACAGAAGTAAATGGACTTTTGAACAATATTCAAAAATTTCTGAGTTTCACCTGTATACTTCATAGTGCAATTTGGATTAAATATATCTCAAATATTCTTGTATATACAGTAAGTACAGAAGAAAAACTACAGTATGTACTATTACTGCTGCTGCTACTAATATTTCTTCTTACGGTGTCATTTTTTCAGGGTGTCCAGCTGCAGACCACTAAAACCTCCTCTGGCTTTGATCTATGAAATGCTTTTTATCTCTTTTTGACTACTCCAAAATTAATGGCCCGAACTGAGCCTTGGCTTTGGCTGAGAGTAAGCGAGGAGGCGGTCGGTGTAAAACGGGAAGTAATATTGATGTTTTAAAAAGGCTCCAGGGCTTTGCTGAATCATTACTTTGAAAAATACACAGATCCCTTCATTTACCTTTACTACACTATTTTTCATAGTTTGTTCATTTTCAGGCAACATCAACTCCCGGTATGTAATCTGGGATTGAGGACAGATATACCCTCTAGGAAACTGTGCAACCCTATATACATGACAAGAATGACAACCTATAAAGGAATAAATGTCTATGTAGAACGGTTCATTTGGTTTTCTGATAGATAGAGCAAGGGACTGGCCTCCTGCTGGTGCCCAGAGTCAGGACTAAACACTGAGGGATTTTATCTTCACTCTTCTTCATGTACTGTGATTATTTATGTTATGTATCATTGTATATCTTGTTTCGTTCAGCCCTTTGAGTTGCCTCGTGTATGAACTGTGCTGTACAAATATACCTGCCTTGCCTGGGCCACAAGTTGATTATTGTTTTGGACCTTGTTTTTTGTACCTGGTTCTGTGACCTGTCTTGTCATCTGTTTTACACAGTCTTTGGCGCTGTCTTCCTAACAGCAAAGGCAGAACAACAACGCCATCTGCAGTCTGACCGCTTCAGGACAGCATCCCAGGTGTGCGAGAGTAAACAAGGTCCCTCGTCCCGGTTTACAGTTCTCAAGGCACGTTTCTGTATTCCTTTGTCTCTTTGGACCTCCTGTTATTCTCAACCCCAATGATATTGGCTTTCTCCCAATCCATAATGTATTTCTTTCTTTTACAGTTGTTCTGTTTTGTGTTTTGTTGCTTTTCTGTTGCCCTTTCCTCCACACATTTCTTTTTGTGTTCCTGAAATGTACTATATGTTTAATTACATGACATGTCCTAGAGTTTGACCTATCAAACTATACAACTCAGGCATTATTGTCCTTTTAATTTATAGACTAGGTTTTATTTTGTCCAATTTATTTTCAAAAAGGATAAAATGGAAGAAAAAAGTGGTATATAATCTAAGCATAACAGATGACAAAAAACAACACAGAGAATCTATTTTTTTTTGATTGCTGTTGTTTTACGATAGACAGCCTGTCATATACTGTTGTCAGCAGCAGTGGGATCATATAAGGACAATATTAACAGCTCAAAGAATGAACCCCTCCTTTTTCATTAGGGTAAAAGCCAATATGAGGTGTAGAGCCTGAACGATTGGTCCATAAAACGCCCCCTGCTCCCTGAGCCACTCCCTGCTCCAGAGATCTGTATTCTGGGCATGTTTGGAGGGATAGATTGTGGTCTGTAGTCATGTGTCGTGTTATGCATGTGTGTGTGTGTGTGTGTGTGTGTGTGTGTATGTGTCTTTCTGTGTGTGTGTGTGCGTTGTAATTGAGTGTGCGTCCCTGGTGGGTGATTGCTGGGGCCTTCTACATGTCACTCTGAAGTCATCAAAGCCACTCAAGGTGTAACCTTGAGGTACTTCGACACAAAAGGATACATTCACAGAGTAAATGAGTTGTTCTCAAATTGAGGTGCGTGTACTGTGGTAACGCAACAAGATCAATCCATCACTGAAGGGAGAAGGGAAGAGGGTTAAGTGCCAGACGTGTATTTCTGTCTGCTATGGTGTCGATCTATAACACCCGTGGCTCTTTTAGTACAATATTTTTAGACATGCCAGTGCACTTCTGTGTTTAGTCGGAGCGGATGGATCTGAGCTCTGCCCCTTCAGAAACGTGGTCACATCAAAGGCTCTGGTCAGACAGTAGATGACAAACATCATTTGCCTGCACTAAGTTTCTGAATTATCCTCATATTACAGGTTCAGGCACAGGAAAAAATTAATTGAAAAGCACTTTCAGTGGCCTTGGTCTGTGAAATCAGATTCAGATTCAGATTAATTTATTGGCCATGTGCAGTATAAAAACTACATTGGAATACATTTGCAAAAAAAGGTACTCTGTGTGCACCGACAGAATAAAAAGCACGATACAATGTAATATAAAATACACATACTCTGAATATAAAATAATAAAAAAAAACAGCTGACACTGTGGCACCGATCAACAAAACGATACAAGGGGTAAAAGCAGGAATTAAAGTGCTCTGTTTAGGCACCTAACAGCCTGTGGAAAGAAGCTGTTAGCATAGCGAGATGTCTTGCATTTCAGCGACTGATATCTTCTGCCAGAGGGAAGAAGCTGGAACATGGCTTTCCCAGGGTGGCCAGAAGAGTCATTCTTGTGCTATGTGCTATTTAAATGAAGTTGTATCTTTTCAAAAGCAAAATAATAATTAAAAACATGTATTTGAACACTAAATTACGCGTCACATCAGCCCCTCCCACCACCACAAACTATTCAAGCACCAGAATCATGTGGGTGAAGTGTCTTGCCTAAGGACACAGCTGCCCCACTGTGACACCTGGAGTTCCCAGAGGTCTCCCATCAGAGTATTAACCAGACCTTGGCACCACTTGCTGTACATGCACACGCTTCCTCTGGTTTGTTTTATAGCCAAGATTTGATTGTTTTTGTGTGTGTTGATAATGCTATGTTCTGTTCACCAACATGTATCGCATAAACATCTTGATATAACCAAATGCCTTCATCCCTGTTAATCTGTGAGTTTGAAATACAGTAAACACATTTTCATACTGTACAGAGATGTGGTGTGTGGACTAAAGCTGCGACCTCGCCGCCTCATTGACATTCCTCTGCACCTCCTCAGATAAAACTCTCATTTACATACGGCTCCTCAGGTTTTATGGTCCACATATGTCCATGTCCTGCTGATCTGTCTTCACCTTTATTACTGAGCTGAGAGGCTGATGAAAACCAGGACGCATGATGTGGCCTTTCAGTCTGGAGTTTGCATGTTCTCCCTGTGTCTAGATACGTTTGTTCCGAACCGGTTAAATGCAGAGGAAAAACAATTACAGCAAGTGTATGGCGGTGTGTGTCAAG